TTCTTAAGCCAATGCTATCTTGGGGGCTGTTTTCTCTTTGTTTCCCTCTGGGTGTGGCAGTCTCTTATGCTTGGTGAGTACTGTTCTTCTGCCCATACTGAGTCGGCATGGATCCAGACTGGGTTTCTTCTACCGTACTCGAGTTTTTCCTTGTCTGGGAAGACAATTGCTTCTCCATCTATAATTTGACTGTCTAGAGTAGTCTTGGGTTTGCGTTATTTTCCTTCAATTTTTGCAGTGTGCTACTCAACTCTCTCTTCTTCCTAGTGTTCGCTGATAGGTCTGAGCATATTCTTATTTGGCAACTTTATATGTGATTGCTTGTTTTTTTCCTAGCTGCTCTCATGATTTTTTCCTTTTCCTCAAAGTTGGATAGTTTAACTATGATGTGCCTTGGTGACTACTTCTTGGGATTCAGTCTAACTGGTGTTCTTTCAGCCTCCTGAATGGTTGCCGGGTTTTCATTCATTAAGCTGGGGAAGTTTTCATCCAAGCATTCTCTCACTATTGTTGCACTTGACTTCTTTGTGGTGTCTTCCTCTGGTAATCCAATAATTCTAATGTCATTCCTCTTCATACCATCAAACCTAGCTCTTTGGTTTTCTTCAGCTTCTCTGATGATCTTATTAGATATTTGTTCACATTTGTTAAAGTGTCCTTGAATGTCCTGTAGGTCACTGGTGCAGTTCTCTGCCTCCTTCAGTCGATTCTCAAGGTCCGTGAGACTGCTACTGGTTTTTGTTATCTCCTCCCTAAGCTCTTGTATTTCCCTTTGGTGTATGGACTTTATCTCCTCTTTCATTCCATCCTTTTTCTGTATTGTTTCTCTCATATCCTGTATTACTCCAAGCAGTATTCTGGAATATCTTGAGTAGTCTTGGGTACTACTCTAGGCTAATATCTGCTTCTTCTATGCATGTCATTAGGTTCAGGACATCTCTGCCGTTGCATTTTGTTTCTCATGGGTTTTTTTCTTGTTGTTGGGGCTGATTGCTGTTTGTTTTAGAGGAGCCAGGTGCCATTTTCCAGGGAGTTGAAGAGCACTGGCTCTTTCTGGGAGACTCGTAGGAAAGCTTCGAACTGCTACAGCTAATTTCAGTATGGAATTAGCCAACCACTAGTTAACAAGTATTGTTATTTGAAGAGCAAGTTGGATGGGCCTCTCAGGGGATGCTGGCTGGGTTGTTGTGGACCCATGAGAATGATGCTGTACTGGGTGATCTCAAAAATCTATGATGGTGTGGCCCATTGCAGCTTTGGGTGCCACAGGTGGTGTTCAGGGGTGCCCGCTGTAACAGGAATGTCACAGAAGTCTGGTTGGTTGCCTGCTTTGGTATAGAGCACGTGAATGGTGGGCGGAATTTCCTTGATCAGGTAGATCACTGCAGAGGTTTTGAAGAGGTTCCTGCTGCTCCGTGGAAGGTTGTCGAGTGTTGGCCAAGCTTCTTTAGGCTGTATGAGGCACTACAGCTGGCAGGAGGTAGTTCCCTCAGTAACGTGGGACCACAGAGGATGGATAGGAACTCCCCCAGCCACACAGGCAGGATTTCCCCCTGAAGAAGGTGTGCCGGATTTCCCCATCCATGTCTTGAGCACTGCAGAGGACAGTCCAGCGGAATATCCCTGGGAAGAAGTTGGGCAGGATATCCCCTGCTGGAGGGTGGGTGGGCTTTCCCCAAGTGGGCTTTCCCCAGCTTCCAGTTATGCTGCAGAGGGAGGAGTTCTCCCAGCGGGGTGGAGGTCAGGCATTAATGCCCTAGGCTAAGGGGAGTGGTCAGGATGTTGGAAGTGCTGTGTGAGAGAAAAGAAAAAACAGCCTGCTGAGTCTTGGGGGTAGGGGGGTTTAGAGAGAAGAGAGGGAAACAGAAGTATCAATATAGCTGAACTTGATCCTTGACTGTGGGGCTGGAGGGGTTTAATCCCTGCCCGGATACGGTGGCAAGCTGTAGCTGTGTTGAGATAAAGCCCCTGTGTTGGCTACAAATGATCCTGGCTCCAACTGAGACTGTGGCGGGGCTAAGGTCAAACCCTAGCTGGCCTCCATTGTGGTAAGCCAAAAGCCCCCAGCTCCCCAAAACCTACTGGATCTCTGCCTTCTTATCTTTATGATGTTCCTCCTGCGACCAGGCAGTGTGGAATTTCCCTCTTAGTACCTCTCCTGCGCTGATTTTTTGGAGTTCCACTGGTATGTGTTAATCAATCGCTATCTTCCTGGAAGTCCCTACCGTCCATTTCTTAACAGATTTTTTTGAGAACTTCTTTTTCTCTCCCGCTTAAAATTAATATACTTTCCCCCCCAAGAGAATGTATTTTATTTGTAATTTACAAAGGTAAATTACAAATAGAGCTTTAAAAATTCATGGAAAAATTCATTTACCTTTTTTTTTTTTTTTTTGAGTCATTTACCTTTTAATCCTATTTCCATGAACTGTTTGAGGTTCACTTATACATGTTATTCCAGTTACTATGGCTCCATAAGAAATTACCCCCAAGACTTAGTGGCCTAAAACAGCAATTAAATATGCTAATAGATTTTAGATTTTGTGGGTCAGGAATTCAGACAGGGCACAGTAAACATGTTTCTTCTCTGCCCTGTGATGGCGGGACCTCAGATACACAACTTACTGGCTAGACCAGAAATGTCTGAAGGCTCACTTACCATGTGGCTGCCTGATGGTCTAGTTTGGGATTCTTTACAGTACAATGTCTAGTGTCCCTCCAAAGTAAACTTCCTAAAGGAGAAACCAGGCAGAGCCATACCCCTATAGTCGCTGGGAGCACTGCTGCCATATTCATTAGGTCTGAAGAGTCCCAAGTCCCCCATCCCCAGGTTCGCAAAAGAGATAGTGACCACACACCTCACATTCATTCACGAAGGGAGCTAGGGTCCCTGATTTAACCGCATGGAGTGTATAGCTGACCTCTGGCTACATAAAGGAGGAGAATCCTAGCTCCATCAATCAAGGCCTATTGCCACAAAACAGAGATCAGGCAAAGCCTCCAACCTCCCTCATTCTTTACCCTTTTCTGATCCTGTTTCTTCCACAGCATTCTACTTTTCTGCTGAGTTCAATAATCCATTGCACTGGTCACACGGAACTCACAGACAATACTCACAATTAAGGGAGTTTATTAGAGAACTTAATGGGTTACTACAAGCCAAGATCAGAAAACATTAAGGATGAAGTCACTGGTCCACAGCATCATCTCTCCTCAGCCAGTAGCCAAGTCTTTCTCTAGTCTTTAGCCTCTCAGCTACATGGTTCCCAGGACCTCTGCCTCACTGCTGCTCTGCTTCACAGTCTCATAGTCTCTGTGTTGCTCTTCTATTCTGTCTCATGTCTCGTTGCCTCAGCCTCTGACTTGGCCTGGTTCTTTCGGTCTGTCCAGTAATTTCTCTTTCACAGCCTCTGGTTCTAGTCTCAGCCTCTGCCACTTTAGACAGAGATCTCATTTGTTCTCCACTGGTAGCTCTTCATCTCTTATGGTCATGGAATTCCTCTCTGTTCCTGTTCTAAGATAGCACATCCCTATAGCCAGCGAAGTGGCAACTAAAATTAACCAGCCCACTCTGTTTTGTGTTTCTCATGCCCTATTTGCAAAGTCCCACCTAATCATCAATGGGAATCACAAAGACCTAGACAGAAGAGCCATGTCAAGAAACTTCACACCATGATAGTCCCACAAACAGGTGCTTCTTGCCTTGTTACCCTTAAATCTACGAGTGAGAACTGTGTCTAGGGAGATTCATCTCTTTTAAAACCTGGCAACCAAGTGTGCTTTTTTCAGTGAATTTCCTCAGCTCTTGTGCAGACAGATCACTGCAGCCAGGTGCAGATTCAGGGCAACCTCCCAGCATTCCCTGTCTGTCCTGGCTGCAGCCCCCACTCTGTGTGCCTCATTGGGCCTTAGCCATCATGTGGTCTTTCTTCTCTGCTGGGTGGCATTTTGTCTTAAGCTGATGACAACTCCTTGACGGTTAAAGCTGCAGAACTCTCTGGAGAAAGGACACCAGTGAGTTGCTTTTCTTGCCCACACCCCATCATTGTGGTGGACTTGCTCACATTCCTGTTGACTGAGATGTTGGTGATCTGCATTTCTCCTCCACATTTACTTCACTTTTTTTTTCCAGCCCCTGCAATGATTCTAGTGATAAAAGGTGATGTAGGGTATAATAAAGCTGAATTATCCCTGTCCTGTTTATCTCACTGCAAAGTTGGGAACTTATAGTTTGAATGTTACATGTTTGCTATCAGGAATTGAATTTCCTTTCCACTAGGCATCCTGCAGACCCTGCAGGGCTGTACTGTTCCTTGGGCCTTGCTGTGTGGCATGGGGGTTACAGGGCCATCTACTCTGCTTATAGGACCTGCAGGACCGCAATGATGAGTTGCAGGCTGCGCTGGAGGGCCTACAGACATGGATGCACAAGACACAGAGTAGCCCATCTAGTTTCCGGCCAGATGGATGCCTGCCCCCAACAGATGGCTCCGAAGGTAGAGGCTATTCTTGTGGAAAGGGTGGGGTCCTTGGGATGTATGAACACACTTGTTCCAGCTAACTGGGCTATCTCTCAGACCTACACTTAGTTTGTGTCACAGCCCACTTTCAAGCATCATAGGGTATATTGAGACACACCGGTTGGCACCACCTGCCCCAGACACGTCAGCACCACCCACCTGAGTTCCTTGTAGATGGGGATTTATGGAAGGGGATGGAGGTTTTATCAACTGTAATGAAATGGCAACAGTTATATGATCTCATAGTGACCTCATGAGAGGCATGTCCATCATTTGTAGATGTTCCAAAGCCACATCCACAGATGTGATTAAGATGAAGGGCTTTGTGCTGAGGTTTCAGCATAGGTTAGGTACAGAGAGAGTGAGGGCATGTGACAGTAAATAAAGGAGTTTTAGTTCCTTTGTCCAGGTCACAGAGCAGTCTCTATAAAAATTGTCCTCTGAGCTGTAAGCTGGTTGATGTGAAAACTCTTTTAGTAAGAGAGCTAAATTACATTTAAAACATATTAATGACTCCCTGATGTTCAGAGAGAGCTTGAGATTTGTCCCCTTGGGTATCAGAATTAGTCAGAATAGACCTGTGACAGTGTGGCCTGTGCAGGACACAGAGCAGCCTGAGTGAGGTCAAGCACTGGAAAAATTCAGGACCCCATGTACACAGGTGTGTATATCTGAGTTATAAGTAGATATCTCTGGCTTCAGGACCCTCTTAGTGCTGAGGATTATGACAAATTCCACCTTGAGTGTAGACTGTGTTTGATTACTCTCAGCTCCTTCGAAAGACAAGAACAAGGAGGTAACACAGCTGCCCTGTAGTTTTGTTATAGTCCAGTATAGCCGGAGGTTGGTTCTTGCATCAGTGCCCCCAACTGTGCATCAGCAGACACTGTGGCAAGTCTCTCAGCCCTGCTGCTGAAACACTGATACACAGTGGTTTTGTGTACTAGGTTTTGGGCACTCCATCACCTCAGGGAGATCTGTGGATACTGGCCGCAAGGTAACCTACAGGCTTTGGCAGTCCAGCACTTTGCATCCTCTTTCCTCCCAGTTTTGTAGTGCTCTAAAGCTATTTATTTAATAAATGTAAATGAATTATACCTAAAATAGCCAACCTGGGAACCTTAAGTCTTCTCTGTATATGGGCCCAGCTTCTTTGGAACCCTACATAACCTGCTCACCTGCAAATGGCAGATTGGTGTCTTGAAATTCTGTGAGTCAACAGCCAAAGACCATTAGATTCATTTCGGAAATTTGGGAAGGAGCCTGACACAGTCAGCTGCACCCCATCCAGAGATACCAAGGGTGCTGTGACATCCATTTAAGACACCCTAGGTAGTCTACCACACAACAGACAGGTCAGCCATCTCCAAGGAAATGGGCATTTCTTGTCCCCTCAACTACACAGAATTTGTGGCCCTCAGCAAGAACCACTGATCCAAAACCTGTGAGACAAGGTTCAGGTTCTGAAGTCTTGGGTCTGCTCGAGACTGGGGATGTGGCACCAGAGTACAGACCTAGGTTTCATACCATCACTAATAAAACCAAGAAATTTCACACCGTGGCCTTTATATGTACTGTCCTCCCATCCCTCTGATGGAAACCAATTTTAGAAGCAGCACAGAGGCTCAGTTGGCCCCTTCCAATGAGGAGGGGCTTGTCTGCTGCAGAGAGGAGTAAGAAGCAGGGTTGTAGTAAGCATAGGTGATGTGGACTGTCCAGTTTCATGGACCTCCTGTCAGCCCAGTTGACTGAGCAAGTTGACAGTTCTCCGTTCCCAGGGCAAAGTAATTCTTTCCAGAGATTCTCATTCAGGGGTTTTTGTCTTGCCCCTTATGTCACAGTTTGTCGCCATTTTCAGGGTGACAATGAGAGTAGAGGATGACTTTGCCACTTCCCATTCTTGACACGGCAAAATGAAGTCTGTTGAGTCACGGCACAAATGCAATTCTGAGTCTCAGACCAGCTCTCTTACAAGCCCTAGCAACACACCTAGTTCATAGATGTGCCTTGTGTGCCTGGTGTGCAGAGTGGTGATTCAGGTAAGAAAGAGAGTCCTTTGCAGTGCTCACAAACACCTTTCCTCATTCCACATGTATGTAATGTGCCTGACTGGTTTATTTATTTATTATTATTATTATTATTATTGTCTTTTAAAATCATTTTATTGGAAGATCTTACAAGTATAACATTCCATAGTTAAATCACATCAAACAGTGTTGTACAATTGCTACCACAATCAGTTTCAAAACACTTTCTTTTTCTTGAACTCCTTGATATCTGCTCCCCATTTGTTCCCTCCCTTCCCCACCATACCCTCCAGGAAACCTTATTTTATTTTTTTCCATATTTTGCACATCCAATATAACCATTCACATCCAATTCTGTTGTTCGATCCCATTGAGTGGGGTTATACACTAATTAATGCTTTCAGCTCCTATTATCCTCTCTCCCCCTTCTCATACCCTCAGGAAACCATTACTCCATTTATAGTTTCAGAAGGGTTATCAATCTTAGCTTTCATGTATCAAATGATATTAAATATACAAATAAACCTACACCAAATCTGATATGATTAATGAGGCAAAACAAATAAAAACCATAATAGTAAGGGGAGCAAATATTAAGGAACTAGAAGATAGTTATGTAGTTCATCAATGCTATACCACACCCTGGATTTATCATCCTTCCATGTGTCCCTTCTGAGCAGGACTGTCCAATTACCAGAGGGGCTGTGGTTTCTGGGTCTCTACTACATCCATGCCCCTTCACATCAATTTGGTTGCTTGTCTTTGAACTTCTGATACCCTTTCCCATTGACACCTTATGATCACACAGGCTGGTGTGCTTCCTTGTGGGCTTTGTTTCTTACCTGCTAGTTGGGCACTTATTTAACTACAAAGCCTTTAAGACCCCATATCCTCTTAATAACTGGGCATCATCAGCTTTTTTCAACCACATTTGCTTATGCACACATTTTGGCTTCAGCAATCATCTGACCAGTTTATTGAACAACAAACAGACTCACTGCCATCAAATTGATGCCAACTCATAACTACCCTATAGGACGTGGGTTTCTGAGACTGTAACTCTTTATGGGAGTAGAAAGCCCTGTCTTTTACCCAAGGAGTGGTTTCAAACTTCTGACATTTCAGATCACAGTCCAATACATAAACACTATGCCACCAGGGCTCCTCCATATCTTGAAACCCAGCATATCTTGAAACCATACAAATGTATGATATAATAAATAATGTGGAGGAGGTGGAGGCCAATATGAAGTCATTAGCTAATAAACAAGTCATGCAGGTGTGTGTGGCCACTTTCACATACAGTGAGGTCTCATTCCAGGCATCACACTGCCCAGAGGCATGTGTCACCAGGTCACTTCTTCTGTCTCTCCACCGCCTCTATGATCCTGGCATCACCAGGGAATAAACTTGAGGTGAAGTACAAGGGGGCCTCACATTCATGGAAAATTCCATTATCTTTTCATTCTGTTTTCTAGAGCTTTGTGAAGTCCCTTCACACTATATCACTGCCACCTTGTAGGAACTTGAAGGGTGTGATGGACTGCAGGAGCCTCCTGAGCAATCTGTTCTGGTGAAAGTGTGAAATGGTTCTAAATGAGTGTTTCCTAACGTGGGCAATACTGCCCCCTGGGGGACAATGGAATAATCCATGGGAGCTGCCAAAGCAAATAACCTACACCCTATCTTGGATTATGGATGGGCTATTGTATAAAAGTTAATTGCCAGAGGGTTGCTGAGTAACTATTTTTCTGAAAATTGGACAGCTGACCAAATAAGTTTGAGATCCTTTATTCTACAAGAATGCAATATAGCAGATCACTAGTGATGTGTGCTGTCTTATACCAGTGTGGCAGGACTCCACCATCACTACCTTTTCCTTGAAAAAGCACATGTAGAATCTGTGCTTTGTTGCCCATTGGGAATAGGAAAGCTGTAAGAAACCTGTAATGTCCTCACATGAGATCAGCTGAGATTACCTCTTCTTCGCAGGCTTTTTTACATGCGTTAGAGCTCCTACTCCAGTGAACCTAGAAACAGAAATCATGATGGAGCAGGTGAAAGAACATTACCAAGACCTCAAGAACCAGCTGGAGACAAAGGTAGGAGGTGAGGCCAAGGTGAAGTTGAGGGGAGCCTTAGGGGAAGCCTGGAACTGCCTGTCGTGCGCAGAGAGCTGTGCTCAGTGCTGACCTTTCTCCTGGCATCTGCCTTGGATTTCTCTGGCACTAATAAGAGCAGTTTGAGGTAAATACAAGCAGAAATGTCTGTCAGCTCATGGCTCAAAGTCACTGGGGGCTGGCATGCTGAGTGCAGCCCTGCCAACTGCTAGGCCTCACAGTCAGCTGTGCAGGAATTCACACCACCTATCCTTGGCTTTGCCCTTTGTGGGATGCTTTATAGTTTCACAGCCAGAATTATCCTGTCTTCTCAGATAAAGTTATCTCCTGCTTGTTCTTAGATTATGAATAAGAGAATGTGCACACACAGTTACCACGTGCCGCGGCCTTTCTACTTTGAGGACTCAGAGAGTCAGCTTAGCCACCCTTGTTTCCCTCGGGACCTTTGAGCTCCTGGAAGCAAATTACTTACCGAAACAGAGTTTGCCAGGCAATGGCCAGATAATATCTTTCTCCCACGGTAGGTTATCCATCTAGCCCAGACAAGGCTGTGCCCTCTCTACAGAAAGTACCTACATCTTGAGCACTGAGTCTTGGGAGTGTCACTACTGTCTTTGCATCCCTGACTTCTGCAGGCCTCAGCTCCTTGGCATATCCAATAACCTTGCTGTTTCCATGTCAGATTGTCAGGAGCTAATTTTTAGCAGTCCCTGCTTAATGTTTCTCTTTCCAGGTAAACTACTACAAACAGGAAATCGAACTAATGAAGAAAAGCTTTGAGAAGGAGAAAAGGGAAATGGAGCATATGTTCAAAAGTGAAGTCAGCATGCTAGAGAGCCAGAGAGCAGCCCTGGAGGCACACCATGCGCAATCTCAGGATGCCCTTTGCAGCCTGCAGGGCCAGCTGCGGGAGATGAGGAGTGCGGGCCCACATTGCACCAACGAGTTTGCCACCCTAGCTCAGTGGCCAGAAGAGAAGCTACGCCTGAGACACCAGCACGGACTACAACAAATAAGGTCTGTCTGCTGGCCTGTTTTCTTCTGGGTCCTCCCTCACATCTGAAGTTCTTTCCAAAAACCCACATTAGATCTGTAACTCAGGAAATGATTCAGAACTGCAGTGTCTGCTAGCTGGGTCGTTTTTCTCTGGCCACAGAGATGAAGGTAGAAAAAATAGGGCTTTGTATGAGGTGTTTTAACTTAAATTAGAAACATATATTAAAACTGAAGCTATGAAGTAATTTAGTTTGTAGACTACTTTTAACTCATTCATATTTATCTTCTGCCTCAGACTTCTCTGTAGCAAAGGAAAAAGGTAGCAAAGCATCTTCCTTATTTAATGTCATGTTCTGATTTTCCAGTGCATGTGGTAGCATGTGGGAAAATGGAGAAAAAGGCTAAAAGCTCTTTTGCAATTGGAAAGACAATTATCTGTGAAGGTATTTTTTAGAAGCTGTCCTAAGCAAAAGGAGCCCTGGTGGTGCTTTGGGGTAACATCAGCCTGCTCACCACAAGATTGGTGATTCAAACCTACCGACTGCTTTGTGAGAGAAAAATAGACTTTCTGGTCCTATGAAGACTTACCATCTCAGAAACCCTCGGCAGCAGTTTTGCTCCATCCTACCGAGCTCGATGAGTTAGAATTCATCTCCTGGCAGTGAGTTGCTGTATCATCACAAACAAAAGCAATAAAACATTTATTTGGAAAACGGAGCGTAACATCACGTGGGTTGCACTTAGTGGAATAATAACTGGTTGCTGCAAGCCCGTGCCTGTTTATCAGGACCTCACTCTCCCACAGAGAATCTTGGGCCAGAGCCCTGCTGACCAGACCTGCAAAGCCTCCTCGGGAAGCATTCTTAGCTGGGAGCCTGGCTAGGTTTAGATGGGGAGCCACGGCACTACAACGACAAGAGTGAACCAAGCCACCTCCTGTGTCATGTGACCTGGGGAGGTTGATGATCCCAGAGCCGGTCTGCCTTTCTTTCGTGGTGCAAGGAAATTGAGGCAGCTTGAGTAGGAGAGGTAAAGAAAATCCTGGACTACTGAATTGTACCCTCTTCTGTACCCTGACTTTCTGTCCCCCCAAAAGATTACCCCACAGTGGCCTCAGACCTGGGCGTTGCAACAACAGATAGTGCCCTCCAGGATGATCAAGAGCTTTCTCCTGAGAACTTTACTTCATAGGATCTTAACCTATGAACTGTCTGGTAAAAGGGCTGACTGCTTTCCAGGACACTTTATAGACCATTGCCACCATTCCCAAGCCCTCTCAGGCTCTAAGAAGCAGCAAAGGGGCATGTCTGATCCCAGGAGATTCCTTAACTGGCTGGAAGGCTGCTCCCACCCCCACTCCCACCCCATGTCATGAATGTGAGTAGAGCCATGTTGCATGACTCGGATAAGCTCAGAGTTACTCTTGTTCTCCCAGGCTGACTGCTCTCAGCTGGGCCTCACTCCACCTCAGTGTTATTTTCCTGGGGTTTCTAAAGGCCTCTTTCTTAGAAGTTTAAGGTATTTTCTAGAGTAATTTCAACTATAGGTGCATTTCGTCTATTTCACTAAACTTTAGGCCAGTACTGCCCAATACAGCTTTCTGTAGTGATAGACATATCTTCTGTTTGCCTGTCCATTACAGGAGTCACCGGCCACAGAGGGTCACTGAAAGTGATTGATGTGACCAAGAATCTGAGCTTTGATTTTCTTCCATTTTAATCAGTCTAAAAGTAAATTTAGTCACATTTGACAAGTAGTGTCTGTTGCATTATCAGGTAGATCCTGTGTATGGACTCTCTGAGAGCAGCTGGCATGATAGAGAGGAGTTGTGCACTTAGAACATGAGCTTGGGCAGGCCTTTCTAACCCAAGAGAATGGTCCTGTGATGCATGTGACATTTGTGTGTCTGAGCCAAGTCCATATGAAATTTTCTCTAGGAAGGAGGCAAAGGCTGAACTGAACCAGAAACTCTTGTGGATGGAAGCAGAGCACTTGTCACAGCAATGGGAATGTGAAAGGAAAGATGCTTCAGAGGCAACTGCAGCAAGTGAGAGACATGGCAGCCCAGCTGGACTTGGACAAGGGACAGAGAAAGTAGAGGCAGAAGGAGATCCTAGCCCAGTTCAAGAAGCAGCAACTCAAGTTTGGGGGGGCTTATGAGTAAAGATCAAGCTAAAATTTGCAAAGTGTTTTCCCTTGAGAAGTTAGAAACCATCTATAGGAAGCAATTAAAAGACCTTTCCCAAGAGGCAGAGATGCTGAGAGCCTTCTTGAAGGAGGGAAAGGCAACTGCCTCCAGGCCTGCTGAGGTCCACAAAAGTCAGAAAGGAGACAGGACCAGTAGGGTCAGGACCTGGAGAGGCTGAGTTCCTGTATATACCAGGTAGGCTTCTCACTGCAGATCCTGTCCAGAGCCCAGTCTCAAGTGCAGCCCTACAGCCCAGAGGACCATCTGCATAGCTCAGCATCAGAGAGAGAGAGCCCCCCCAAATTGTTGAATGATATAGAGGTGGCTTTTGCTTCTTCAGAGACATAGGTCTCTATGCTATCATCTAGAGTGGCAAAGCTGTGTTTCTGGAGAAACCCATACCTTTGGCTAGCAACCTTGCTGGTCAGAACTAGCTATCATCTGAGCAGCAGCAGTCTAAAGCCATGGAGCAGCATTTACTGGACATGATTGGACACAAGCTGCCTCACTAGGAGCCTCTGTGTCTTGGAGGGTGAGCATGGGGTAGGAACCACTAGCAAAGGACAGCCGAAATTAGAAGATGCTGTACAGATACAGAAGGTAGAAACTGTGCTGGAGAGAGAAAAGAGTGACATGAAAACCAGGCTCCTACAGCTGGAAGATATGCTTCTGGCTATGGAGAAAGAAACAGAATCAAGAGAGAATAACAAGTTTGCCTTCTATCCATTCTTAAACAAGTGGAACTAGAATCATCTCTGTCCCTGATGACTTGATTGCATAACCCCCTTTCCTCCTTGCAGACTGGTAAACTCTGATTCAGGCGAATACCATGTACCCCAGGTCTGTCCAAGCTTATCAGCCCAATCTGACCTGTATTCAGGCCCTGGTGTTGCTAGGTGCTGAGTAAATGAGAAAAGAGAAATTTTCCATCCAGAGACCCCCTAGAACTTCACCGAGAGGACTGTTGTGGCTTGGACTTAGGTTTCCACTATCTTTGTCATAGGAAATCTGTGCTTGTCTCACAGGGTCTATGAAAGACTGCCCTGAAGACCCCATTTCATTCCTTTGTATTCTCAGAAGGTCTCTACCTGCCAACCCCATGCACCATTCTTTAGTCCCACTGCATATATTGAAAGTGTCCTTGGGGCAGGAGATCTACTGTGAAAGAACGGTATGCTTCTTGAATTCTGTGAGAGCCCCAAGAACTGACTGGGAAACTCAAGAGGTTGGCGGCAGAAGCTGATGCCTTCTGGAGAAAGCTGAGATGAGAGGGAGTTCTTAATTCCACCAGCTGGGCAGGCTACTTGAAAGGCCTCTGGTGGAACTGGCCTGCTCCCTGGAGGACTTTGGCTGGCAAATGCTCTATCTCAAAAGCCTTTATAGAAAGGGCTTTCCCACTATTTTCCATAGATGAACCCATGTCCCTGAGTGGCTTAAAACAACACAAGTTTAATATCTTATAGTTTGAGATGCTGTAGGTCAGAAATAGGCTAAAATTTAGCTAATTTTTTTGAAAGCTTAGTTGCATTTTAGCTAGAACTGACAGCTAAATTGGACTATAATCAAGGTGTCATAGGGTTGTGCCCCTTCCAAGAGGTTTTAAGGAGAACCCATATGCTTACTTTTTCCAGCTTCTGGAAGCCACTCACGTATCTTGGCTCATGGCCTCTTCCTCTTTTCAAAGCCTCCAATGGCTGGCTGAATCTAAGGTTGTGCCTCTTCTAACTATTCTGCCTCTTTCATTTAAAAGGACCCTAGTGTTTACAATAGGCCCGCTAGAACAGTCCAGAATAATCTCATCTCAAGGTCAGCTGACCAACAGACTTAATTTCATCTTCAACTGTAATTCCCCTTAGCCATGTAACATAATATTCACAATTTAGGGAATTATAACATGAATAATGTTTTACCAACTGCCATCGAGTTAATTCTGACTCATATCCACCCCAAAGGGCAGAGTAAAAGTGATCCCTAGGGTTTTTGAGGCTATAAATCTTTATAGAAGCAGAAAGCCCCATCTTTCTCCTTTAGAACAGTGAGTGGGTTTAAACTACCAATTACACCACCATGGCTTTCCAGAAAATCTTTAGGAGGTCATTAATCTGCCAACCACAGTAGTGATCTGAATTTTTATCTCTGATACGTTCATGATCACGTGTCTTTGGTGTATTTAGGTATGCATTTTTTTAAAAAATATTGTTACATGCAAAGAAAAAAATGTACAGCTAAAATTTTGTAAGAAATTGAGCACATCGTGTTACCAACACCCAAAACAAGAAATAGAACCCTCCTGAATTCCCCAGCCAGTATCCTGACGTCTTACTCCATAATGTTGCCTGTATTTGCACTTTATATAAAGGAAGCATACAATCAGTACTTTCTTACCATATGTTGTTTGTGAGATTCTTCCATATTGTTGCTTAGAGCTATAGTTATGTCATTTGCACTTTATTTTGCATTCTCTTACCTGCATTTTTCTACTGCGATGCAAGTTCTTTCACATGTCTTCTGGGTCAATGCAATATGTTTGTATGGAATGGAATTATTTAGATTTTAGGATATAATCATGTTTATCTTTTTAGTTTACATAAGAAACAATGCGTCTTGTGAAAAACTCAACTATAATACTTTTTTTAATTAAGTTTTTATTGTGAATTAAGATCAACAGAGCAGATCATACTTTTTTTTTTCAGTGTGCTATAAATTTTATTATTGTTTTCCTTCTGTGTCTTGTTGATATTTTTTTCTTTCTCTTTTTTAACATTTTATTAGGGGCTCATACAACTGTTATCCCAATCCATACACACATCAATTGTGTAAAGC